TGTAGAGGCTGCAGTGCAACCATGAATCATTCATTTATTTGACAAGCACTGAATGACTGGTTGCGTTGTTCTTGGTACTGGTGTATGTAGGGGGAGGTATAAAGGTAATTTTATTATAGTTATTTGATTACAAGAAACAAACCAACTGAAGTTCTAGATTAAGCATTGATACTAAGCTGACTGGAATGGAGGGGGCCTATGAAGGTGCTGGAACAAGAAAGCACCTAATGAAACTAAGGCATTGTTTTGTTCATCATTCTACTTCCCAGTCCATGTGGCTGAGGATAGGTTTAAGTTCACACAGTGTTTTAAGTTCATAATGCTTCCAGATGTGCAGAGTCAGAGAAGCTCCCTGTCTCTGTTTCCATATTATAGAGGGATAGAGTTTGTTTGGGTTATATGAGTTGGACTCTTACCCGTCTGGTCAGCTGTGATTAAAGTGAGTGATGGATAGACAGGGTTTTGTATATAAATATAGTGCCAAGAGTCAGGGGGCTATCCCAGCACCGTGTTGTATGGGCAAAGAAGAATAGAGGTAGCTCTTAGAAAAGGTGATCTGTAAGTCAGACAAGACTCTTCCCTACAAAAATGTGGCCACAGCAATGATGGAGACAAACACAACCTGCTTATGATGTTGTAGGAAAGGAAAAGAGAAACCATTTGGAAGAACAGAGGGAAAGGTCTAATGGTGGCTCTGAGGAACACAATGAAGAGGGGTGGTTCTCAAGCTCTGTCTTTGAGATTGAGTGATATTGACTGGCTCTCATATAGTTTCCTAATGTTACAGTAGCAGAAATCCTGCAAGTGGGTGACTTTAGAGAACAGAACTTTATTTTCTTTCAGTTTTGTTGTTAAGAGGTCATTGAGTTGATTTCAACTCATAGTGACCCCATGGGACAGAGAACTGTCCCATGGGGTTTTCTAAGCTGCATTCTAAAGAAGCAGATCTCACCAGGTCTTTCTTCCATGAGTTTTTTTTAATTTTATTATTATTATTCCTTTCCCCTTAGATTATTAACTTCTACCACTACCCCCTGTCCCTTAACTTAAAGTTAGTGTGTTATTACTTCTAAGTGCAATCAAGTTGATTCCAACTCTTAGAGACCCTGTATAGGGTTTCTGAGGAGTGGCTGGTGGGTTTGAACCTCCAACTTTGCTATTAAAAAGTTATGAGTACTGTGTTCAAATTAAGGAGATACCATCAGACAACCTTTGAGGATGAAGTTTGTTGTTATTTTATATAGGTATTGCATCTTACTGGTAGTAAGTCCTAGTTTTTATTTCAGAGAAAGCAGTTTGGTTTGCCTATATTTTATTTTACTTTTATCATTGTATTGTTAAGAATATGATAAGAATTGCCATTAATTTCAATATTGTTATTTCATTTTCAACTTGTTTGGAGCATCTCTGTACTAGAGAATTATCCAGAAGTGGGAAGTAGTACTTGCTTTGTCTTCCTGGCCACGATTTTGGGTTTCAGTTTCATGTAATGGTGGACCTATATATTCTCCCTACTTGGGGCTATGCTGATAATAGAGGAAGTCATTCCTAACAAATGAACCTTTGCGTGATTTGAAATTCTGATGTAGTATGTAAGGAAACCCAGTCATATCTATCTGAATATGTAAATGATTCCATTTTCATATTTTGAAAACTACTGAAATTATAATACAAATACCAGTATTGGGTACTTAAAATCTCATGGTACACCAGAACATACTGTTTTTTTTCCCACCAGAACATACTTGTACAAAGAAGTTCCTCACAGTAATATTTAGTGTAGCTAACTGAGCAACTCTGCAGTCAGAACATAGGCTCAGCGGCAGATGGTTGATTTTTATTTTATTTATTTATGTATGTTTTTGTTTTTTTATCAAGAGCCTTTGAAAAAGTACCTAGCCTTTCACAAAGTAATTATGTTTTTGAAAGTCTATCCCAAGGAATTGTTGTTAAATGCTATCAAGTTGGTTCCGACTCAAAGCGACCCTGTATAGGGTTTCCAAGGAGCAGCTGGTGGGTTTCAACTGATGCCCTTATGGTTCTCAGTCCAGTGCTGATGCTACAGAGCCACACCAGGAGTCCATCCTAAGGAATTAAACCCAGCAAAAAACAGCAAATGAATTGCCTTTGGCTATGGGGCACTTTGGCTGAGTGAACTGTGGCCTCTGAGTGGCTCAGGGTTCCTTGCTGCATTTCCTTTGCTTAAGCAGCTATCTGGGCGCTCTGCACAGATTTCTCCTTCCTTTCCCCACGTAGTCCCCAAGAGAAGGTCTTATGACCCCCTCCCTGTCTTGCAGCTACACGGATCTGCTCCAGGTCTTCCTGTCCAGCCATTCCTTTGTGATGAGAGTAGTCCTGTGTCTGAATCACATTGTTGTTAGTTGCCATCTAGTTGATTCTGACTCATGTTGACCCTCAGTGTCAGAATAGAACTGCTCAGTAGAGTTTTCAAGGCTGTAGCCTTTCCAAAGCAGATAGCCAGGCCTGTTTTCCTAGGCCCCTTTGAGTGGATTCGAATAGCTAGCTTTTCAGCTAGCAGTTGAGTGCATTTAACCATTTGTGCCACTTAGAGATACCTGTCAGAATCACAGAGTTGACCCGGCCAGGCATGACCATGACCCCCCCACCCCACCCCCAAGTTCTCCATGAGATTAAAAATAATCATGTCTGTTTTGTGGCCATAGTGTCTTTAGCATACTCTGGTACATTCTTGTTCTTGTTATTGATAGCTGCCTTCTAGTTGATTCCAACTCACGGTGAATCCCATGTGTGAAAATTAGAAGTGCTCCACAGGGTTTTCAAGACTGTGACTTTTCAGAAGCAGATTGCTAAAGCTCTCTTTCAGGGTGCCACTAGGTAGATTTGAACTGCCAACTTTCCTTCTAGTAATCAAGTGCTTAATTGTTTATACTACCCAGGGACCCCATCTGGTACCTCATAAGCTAAAAAATAAAATGTTAGAAACTGGTTGCCATTGTGTCAGTTCTGCCACATAAGCGTTTCCAACACCAGTCTGTATGGAAGCAGACTGCTGCATCTTTCTCCTGAAGAGTTTGCTGGTGGGTTTGAACCACTGAACTTCCAACTAACAGCTAAGTGCTTAACTCCTGTGCCACCTGGGATTCTCTAGTACTCAGAAGTATTTGTTGAATGAATTGGGTGCTCTGGGGATTTGTACTCCGCATGACTATAAAGCCAAAGTATCAGGTAGACTAGAAAGACTAGTGTTTGAGGGGTGTGGCGGTCAGGTCCTGAGGGGTGCCTGCCTGGGTTTCTCTTGGCTTCTCTGCTTTTCATCTTTTGCTTGTGGCCCCTGTCTAAAGGCTGAGAGGCAGGGCTGTCTTTGCACGCCGTGTTAGGGCTTCATTACAGTAGTCATTTCCTTTATAAAAATTGTTGTGAATCATTTTTCTTTATGGTTTCCCTGAAATGATTCAGAGTTGTCCTGAATCCAGTGCTATTTTCATCCATGTTAGTGAATATTTCCATGATTGAGTTTTTATCTTTTGAACTATGCACTTGTTAAAAGCTGAAATTTGGTCATATGGACCCCATAAGCAGTAAACTATAAGGCAGTTTAGGTTATCGACTGCAGAGTAGATGTGCTCTGCCATGGTGGTGGAATGGAGGAGCTGACTGAGCACTCTAGAGGGAGATGTGTTCAAGTGAATGCTAATAGGCTTTAACACTTACCTGGAGTCCTGGTGTGGTGCAGTGGGCTAATGCGGCAGACTGCAAAGCTGTTTGAACTGCAAGGTCGGTAGTTCAAGCTCACCAGTCACTCCTTGGAAACCCTATACAGGGTCACTATGGGTCAGAATCTACTCGATGGCACTTCACAACAACACTAATCAGTAATATGAATGAACAGAGCAGGCATTTGTTGAGTGTTGTTGTTAAATGCCATGGAGTTGGTTCTGACTCATAGTAACAGGGTTTCCAAGGAGTGGATGGTGAATTTGAACTGCTGACTTTGCACTTCACACCAACCTTGTGGTCCACTGCTTATCCTGCAGCACTAGTTAAGAGTACGTATGGCAGTTTTTGAAGATTAAGTGTGTTAACATTATTCGGTACATTTGAAAATGCTTAAAATGATGCCTGGGGCAAAGGAAGTGCTCAAGAAATATTAACTTCTTTTCTAGCATAAGACTCATTCACCTAAGAGTTAATTTTGATCTTTGCTTTTCATTTTAAAGCACGTTAGCATCTCAGAATGGCATTATTATAAGGGCTCTGTGCTCAAGAACCTACAGATAAAACTGATTTAAACCAACTAGTTACATCTGGAAGTTTTGTGATGCACGTGTTTGCACAGGCAGACGAAACACAGAAGACAAGAAGGGTGCTGGCAGGACCTCTCTCGGACCCTGTGCTGCAGGGTCGCTATGGGTTGGAGTCAACTTGGCAGCATTTCACAACAGTCACTCTGGCAGCAGTGTGGGCAGGAGACCAGTGGGAGACTCCATTGTAATCAGCCGTGATTAGTTGCTGCCTAGACCACAGTGTATCAGACTTGTAGGTTAAAGCATGGAAAAGAACAGTCACTGCAGGAATTAGGCCACAGGGATGGATTTGAAATGTTCAGATGTGGACTTGCCAGGACTTAGGGACGATTTAGCTAAGTGAGATCATCTACATTGACAATGGGGAAAATCTGGGCTGAGACTGTCACGAGAAGTTTATTCTACTGCAGTGATTTTTATTGTTACTCTAATTTTTCTGTTAACAGAATTCTGAAACCTTCCCTCCCCCAATGATTTTCAATGTAAAGATTGAATTATTTTCTCTCAGACATTTCTAAGGATTTTTGAGATCTGCTTTCTTTAATATTTCCACACTGGAAAACAAATACATAGCAGTACTAGTTAGTAATATGGGGGTAGAAATGGAACTAGGGAAAAGGATTCAATTTGTATGCTCCTGAAAATAAAACTAGTAAAAAAGGAGTGTTATTTCTCAGTCTGAATGCGATGCAAATAGAGCCTTTTCTCTGTTACAGACAGTTTTACATGTATTGGAGACCAGACCAGAAGCACTTCTGAATTAAGGTAATTTTACTGTACTTGAGCCCCTCCAGCTGTTAGAAGTTCAACATTTAAATTTCTGTCGCTGTTTGTTGGTTGGTTTGTTTTCAGATGACATCGTTTTGCCCATCTCTTTAGTCTTCAGAACAAAGTGTTGCTCAGAAGATTTCTAAACTTCCATTTAGTGTTCATCTGGAAGTTTTAAGGTCCCAAGAAAGTTTATGTTTGAAATTCTGGAAAAGAGCAGTTTGTCTAAATTTTTTCTTTATTAAACAAGAGAGTGCCTGTTTTCAAATCAAACCTTAGTAGTAACACAAGTACAGCTAAGGAGCACATGATTCAGACTGCCCCCTCAACACACATGCCCCTTTTGTATGGAGTGTTTACATAGAGGGTGAGTGTATGTGAGGGTACACTGTTCTTTGTAGTGGTCTTGCAATTCTTGGTACACTTGAAATGATTAAAAAGCAAAACAAAACTGAATAAACTATTGGGTATTGGAACTGTTGGGTATCCTATGCAAAAGTTGAACTTCATACCAACCATCTCCAAAAAAATGGACTCCAAGTGAATCATAGACTTAACTATAAAACCCAAAATAAGAAAATGTAGGAAATTGTTTTAACTTTGAGTTAGGCCAAGATTTCTTAAATATGGCATCAAAGAAAATTAAATGAACAAACAAAACAACCTTTTTAGTTTGAACTTCATCAGAATGAAAACTTCTGTTCTTTGAAAGACTGTTAAAAGATTGAAAAGATAAGCCACTGGCTGGCAGAAATATTAGCAAATCATATATTTTAGATGACTTTCATATATAAAATACTCTCAGAACTCAATAAGAAAGCAAACAACCTAATTTAAAAATAATAATAAAAAAGGGCAAGTGATTTGAGCAGACACTGCACCGGAAAATAGTAGAGATAATAGATAAAGCAAGATATTCAACATTCTTCACCATCAGGGAATTGCAAATTAAAACTACAGTGAAATACCACTGCAAAAAATACCTACTAAGGTAAAGGAGTCTTGGTATGGTGCTGTAGAATAAGCACTGGACTGCTAGCCAACTGGTTAGTGATTCAAATCCACCAGCTACTCCTCAGAAACCCTACACAGGGTCACTATGAGTCAGAACCAACTCAACAGCACTTCACACTACGGTGAAACTCGGGGAGTGGGGGAGATAAAATGGCACAGCCAGTTTGCAGTATCTTAAAATGTAAAAAATAGTGTGATCCAGCTATTCTACTCGGTGATAATTACTCAAAGGAATGGAAGCATATGTTGTATGAATAGGTGTACATACAGCTACAACATGGATAAATCTCACAATAATTATGCTGAACATAAGCTAGGTCATAAAAAAGTACATATTGCATGGTTCAATGTATATAAAAAGGAGCTCTGGTAGCATAGTGGTTACGAGATGGGCTGCTAATCTTACAGCCAGCAGTTCGAAACTACCAGCCATTCCGCTGGAGAAAGATGGGGCTTTTTGCTCCCGTAAAGATTTATATCCTCGACTCCACAGCACATCACCACCACCACGATGTATATAAAGGTCGGTGGTTCAAACCCACAAGCAGCTCCAGGAAAACCCAATACAGGGTCACTGTGAGTTGGAACTGACTCCATGGCACTTAACACCCTATATATAATATTCTATGAAATAATTCTGTAATGCATAGTGATTAGATGAGTGGTTCTTGGGAATGTAGAGACAGGACTGGAGGAAGGGGTTTCAGAGAGTCATGAGGAAACTTTGGGAGTGTTGAATGTAGCACCACAGTGAATGAAAAAATTCATCTGTTCATTATCTTAATGAATATGTTCATTATCTTAGTCATTGTGATGGTTTCATGGATGTATGCATATGTTAAAAACTTACAATTTAATATGTACAGTTTATTATGTATCAATTATGTCTCAATAAAACTTTTAAAAAACCTTAGAAACACAACTAAATGCACAATTATAAAGCAGTATAATATAAGCAGTTCTCAAGTTCCTTCCTTCCTAATGAGCTCTCCTATTACATTGGTTGCTACTGTTACCGATGTTCTTGATTTCTTTAGGTGGTAAAGAAATGTGGTAGGTAAAAGAGGGGAGGTTGTTTTCTAGCTGTTATTTACATTATTTCAGATTCATTGTTTCAGTGCTTTTTCATTCACTGTGGTGCCATTCATGGCTTCCAAGTGCCTTCTGGGGGTTATTACCAGATCCTCATAGAATGCGAAGTGGGTGTTATCACAGTCTTCATGTTCAGACAAGAAAATGGAGGCAGAAAGAGGTCTGAAAACTTCAGAAGGCCACCTGGTGATTCGAGAAGTCAGAACTGGAACCCTGAGGTCAGGTTCTGGAACCACCACCTTCACGAAATGCCACATGGCCTCTCCCAGCAGGAGTGCCACAGCCAGCCATTCTGTTAGGGAGGGTGGGCATGCAGATGCCAATACAAACTTTCTTTCCATGGGAAACTAGAAAGTGCTCTTAGTCATGTGCAGGAAGTGCCTGTAAAAGCACATTCTTTCCTACACTTGAGGAATTTATAGCCCCTTTAAAGGTGTTTGGTGTGTCTTCTCCTTTGTTGTGTATGTTGTATGGTTTCTAGTTTTCCCACTGCCTTTTCCTGTTAACACCTGCCTTCTAGATGTGAGCCATTTGTTTTATATGACTGCATCAGTAATTTGTAACACTTAACTCTGAGATCATTACACAGAAACTCTCTTTGTGTTTGCAGGGGTTCTGATATTGAACACTCTTTGACACTCACCTCCACCCCTTCCCAAGTATATGTTCAGCTCTGTACTGGGTGGGCAAACCATAGGCTAGTGAGGTTAGATGTGGAGGAAGAACTGATGTTTTTCATGATGTTCAAGAGGTAAGAATTCAAAGAACAGCAGTCAGTTGCCATTTTCTGTGATTCTAAAGATTGCAAGATGGTCGAGGATGACTTTCCTTGCTCTTCTTAACTGGTTCAACCCTGGCTTTCCAGTCCATTCCTTGGGTTGCCAGTTTTTAAGTACATCATGCTCGCACACTGTGAAGGACGACTGTCACTTCCTAGTCGCCACCATTTAGAAGGTGAGGGAATGGATTTATTAGGAGATGTCAAAGAAGTGGTAGATCCTAGGGACCAGGGAGCACAGCATCATCTTTCTCAGTTACTGGACTGGGAAAACTGGAGGCAGTACCTGCTCCTGAGTAAGGTGTTAAAATGACTTGACCTTCAAGTGAGTATCAAGAGATTAGGAATGGGCTCAGTTTAGGGGAGAATTCTTTAGTTTTGAAATAGGGTACTGAGCAACACTGTTGATTTTGGTAGCTGGCATGCACTTAAAATGCAGCTGGTCTGAATTGAGGCGTGCCAACTCTAAAACACACAAATTTAAAACACTTGTGAAAAGTGAATGTGAAGTATCTGTTTATAATTGTTTTATTAACTACATGTTCAGATGATAATATTTTGGGTATATTCGATTAAATAATGTATATAATTAAAATTCATTTTACCTGTTTCTTTTTAATTTTTAATATGCCTTAGAGGCATATTAAGCATACCTGATGAAAAGAGCTAATCAGGAGCTAGTGGGTGGTGGCCCTGAGACCTAATTAGCTGGCTCACCTGCATGGATAGTGTTTAGGTAGGAAGTGATTTTGAGATGCTTTCTCTAGAAATGGAAACACTAAGATCGCTTGCCCTAGAAGGAGCTCTGCAATGTAACGATGAAAGGTATTGGTACTTGGCTCAGGGCAGAAGACTACTGAGGTGTTAGCCTCCACTATGTTGCTGTCAGGGGGCAAGTGACTGGGAAAGTATGCTTTCTTTTTGTAGTCCCTCATGTAGCAGTCTATTTCCATAAGATTTACAGCCTTGGAAATCCTATCAGGCTGTTCTGCTCTGTCCTAGAGAATCTCTATGAGTCAGAATCAACTCATGATATAGTGGGTTTGGTTTAACTGTTATTGAGCAGCGATAGGACATGGCATGGTTAACTCTGGAATTAGCCTGGGTTAGAATTCCAACTTTGTCACTTGTGCCTCTGAACCTTGGCAAGTTCTGTAACCAACCTGCGTCTCCATTTCTTCTTATTTAGGATATGGATAGGTGATTAGGCCCCCTCACAGAATGGGAAGGATACATATGACGTACCTGTCACCCAACAGTGCTCAGTACATCACTGCTAAAACCTAGGAGTAAATCATGAACTTCCCTTTATTTCAGAAGCAGTCAGGATCTAGGCAGTGAAATCATAGAGCTTCTATAAGCTGTTTCTGCAATAGACATTTGTTGGTCATTCTTGTAGATTCGTTGGTCTAGTAAAAATAAGAGCGTTGGTGATTTTTTAAAATGAGGTGTGTTTTTTTTTTTTGGTTACTGGGGCTCACGCTGGACTGGACTTGGTTAGAAAGCAGCCAGACTGTACTCTACCATTGCAGAACTATGCTCACTGAATCGATTAGGTCTTGAAGCATCATAAGGCAGTTTGGTGAGAATCAAGACATATTCAGAGGAAATGAGTATATATTGCTTAGTATGAATTATGTTTCTAGTTTCTCTACTTGCTTTTGGGAGGTGGAAGCTCTCAGTTACTTGCATTTTTTTTTTTTTTTTAAGTTTTTATTGCAAACTGAGTGATAGTTTACATGGGAGAGTATAAGCTTTATACCATTGTTTCGTTGCAATGATTACACTCTCCTCTATGCATCATCATTCAACAGTATTTGCTTCCATTCCCTCTGTTTTTGTGGGGTGGAGTGGGGGAGATGTACATAGAAACACTCAGGAATATATAATAATTTACACCACCAAAGGGCACATTCTGCAAGCCTGCCTCCTGGCCGCCAGCACCCAGTCCCTCTCTTTCCATGAATCCAGAGTCCTCATCAGCTGTTTGAATGTATAATCAGTTTTAAGAAGAACAAGCTTCGGGTGAATTAATGCTCACCATGAGGAAGCTATTTGTGTCCCTGGGATCTTGGAGATAAGTAGAAGGACCTTAAGAGTTGTCCTAAATTTT